GATTGACAGCGCTGACACACAACTTCCATGCGATGGGTCTGAAGTGCAAATCCCGAACGGGACGGTGGATATGCGCTACTGATGAGGCCTAATTAGAGCGAAACTCGAGTCTAGTGCTTCCGAGTGTATGGTTGAATCTATGATCTGTGGATTCTGCGTAAACGTGAAGTTCAAACGATAGTCACGTCAAATCAATCAATATCAATTATCCCACACCACCATTCATAGGTAACTGTGAGTTAAATGAGAAGCCCGCATTTTTACACGGCTACCATCAGAACTGTGCGAAATGTTTCCTTAATTTTTCGCTCTGATTTCGTGTATTAAAATGTACTTACAGTGTTCATCATCGGAATGACAATTTCTCTTGATTATCCATCAGTTTATGACTCCATTCCCATTTTCTGTTCACTAAACCAGCTACAGTTATCTGGCTGTTCCTCTTCTGCAATTATTGACAAAGTATTTCTCTCTGTTAATTTGGGAAAAGGCCTATCACCCACACCACTCAACACTTCGGGCTTGACGCTATGTGGAATCCTATCACCCAATCGAAAATTAGCAACTGACCTGGTACTAGCTCTGGTTGCCATCTTGATGAGTATGCCGATGATAGAAACGTTGCTGTCTCTTTTGAACCTATCTACACTGATTCAATGTGTTACACATCAGCGATGAACGTGCAACGAGTACGCACGCATCACAATTTAGTTTCCAGGTAGCCAATCACGAAGCGGATTTACCGACCAATCCTGTGATCTCAAGTGGCACTAACCGGATTGGTTGAATGCAAGAAGGCAGGCAAATGGGCCATTTCGTTGTCAATTGGACATTGAAGAACTAGACCAATGATTGTTGGATGCTTGTGCATGCTTTTTTGAATAGAATTAACCGTATCCACAGCTCGTCTCGGTTCTACGTGGGTTTGCCCTATTCAGTGAGTTTTCAATTCGAATCGGAGTTCGTGCTATACGATTTCGATTCGTATTCCGAATACCACAACATCTCACTTCATCCGGTCCAACTCGCTTGTCTTCACATACCTAGCTAGACTGTTGCTCATAGGCGGATAGGACTTTCCTTCAGAACGAGAGAAAGGCATAGTTTTTTGCACTGAAACCAGTCAGTTGACAAAACAATCA